ACTGCCCTGTTGTTTCGTCAGACGACTGCCCCCCCCTCCCCCCCCCCCCCCACCCCAGGGAGAAGCATTTGAAACTGTTTCAGCATCATCTGGAGCAAACGTGAACTCCACCTCCTTTGCGACAGGTGGCTCTTCAGAGCGCGCACGCTCGCCGCTATGGAGTGTCACGGCGATTGCACTCGCAATACGGCCCCCGCACGTCGCGGCGTGTCCGCGCGATCAAGGTCTCCAAAGTCATGTCGCCGCACATTGTCATGACATTGATCTTGCAAGTCACTCGGCCTACGAACGCGCAAGAAGCGTAGCCACAACGCCGGGGCTCGAGTCGGCGACAAGTCTCACATGCGGGTAATTCACAGCCCCGCAAAAGAATGGAAACACTCTGCACGCTTCCGCGGCAAAAGGGCACGGCACCCAACCCCCGCAGCCGGAGAGGACGTATCATATCTCGTCTGTTCGAACTCGAGGCAAGGACGTGCAACAGGGCAGAAGCATGACGACAACAATGGTGGTAGTCGTGCTGGCCATGGCAGTGGTGGCGGCGGTAGCGGCGAGCGAGACAGCGGTGGCGGAGAGCGAGACGACGGGACATGCCGTGTGCAGCTGGATGGACATGGACATCAAGACAGAGTACCTGGCCAGCTCGCTGTGGTGCTGCCAGATCCCGCGGCCGGCGACACTGCAGACGACGATGGATGTGTTTCCGCACGGGGAGAGCGTCGCCGTGGCGTATCTGACCTACGCGCAGGCATTCGCATGCCAGGAGGAGAACCCGGTGGACATCCCGGACGTGGAGTTGGTCTACAACTCGACGGTCATGGAGAGTGGCCATCACTACGTGTACGAGACCGGGATCACCGGCATCAACTCGCCGTGGTCTGCCCTCCTCGGATTCCATTGCATGGACAAGGCCGGCTGCCAGTTTATCGTCCCGAACATCACCGTCGCCATTGCCTACTGACGGCACACCACGCGCAGCTGTAGCCATCCTCCCAACCCGCTCCTGGTTGTCGACTGGCCATGCGATGTCTGTAAAAACGAGCGAGAGATTGTGGCCCAAAGTCGCGCGGCAGAGTGGAGCACGGTGGAGCAGAGGGTGGAGCAGAGAGGCGAGGGGGAGGGGAAGGGTAGCTTCAATGGCAGGCCTTACCGTACTTCTTGAGGCGGTGGTAGTTGTATGGGAGCGGGACGACAAAGCCGGCGACCATGGCGGCGGCGGCGGCGGCAAGGCCCTCGGGCGTGGTGAGGCTCGGCGCGCCGCCGGTGAGCCACCAATCGACAGCGTTCTCGGCCGACTCCATGGCGAGCATGGAGCCCATGGACATGCCGGCGGCGGTGGATGCGGCGGTGGACCAGGTGGGGAAGCCTTCCTTCCACTTGAGCACGGCGGTCTCAAGGGCCAAGGACGTTCCGATGCCCGACGCCATGGCAATGCCCATCATCATGGCCGGTGACATGGTCGGCGCGGTGGCCGAGAGGTACGTCAGCGCGCCGAGATCGCCCACGGTGCAGCCGACCAAGCATCGCGTCGTGTTGGCTGCCGCCCGCTTCCACGTATGGCTGCATCGCCAAAAGCCTGTCATCGGTATCGCGTTTGTTCGGATCGTGCTGCAAAGTGTGTGCGCGTGGGCGTCAAGTGTTGCCGCTTGGGATGGTGGAGCGGGAGTGGAGCGGTGCGGAAGCGCTTACGCGGCAAAGATCTTGGCGGCAAAGGCCATGGCGGCGTTGCGGGCGGCGACCATCTGCGGCGGATCCTGGGCCGTAGGCGGCATCATGGGCGCGCAGTGGCCGGCGTCGTCGTAGAGGACAAACTGGTTGGCGCCGACGTTGGTGGCGTTGTAGACGGAGAGGTCGTGCCACGGATCGACGAGCGAGTTGATGAAGAGCACGTTTGTCGAGTCGGGCGTGTTGCCGCCAAAGAACGCGTTGGTGGCGTCGGTGTCGGCAAGGCCGGGCTTGCCAAAGATGGCGCCGTTGACGGTGTTGGCGAAAAAGTCCATGTCGACGGCGTCCGAGACGACGACCGAGCGCGGCGAGTTGAGCGGCTTGTAGAAGCCAAACTCCGAGTACTTTTGCCAGAACCACATGCGGCCGCCGATGGCCGACGTGTCGATGCGGGTCGACGCCTCCTGCTTCATAAAGTCGAGGTCGTTGCACTCCGAGTGCGAGCCGCCAAACTGGTAGTACAGGTCAAGGAAGGCAGCAAACGGATCGGCGGCGGCCGTCAGCTGGGCACACGCCGGCTTCAGCGGGAGCGCCGGCGGGTTGTCGTACTGCACAATCTCCTCGATCCAGTCGACGACTGCACCAAACATGAACAGGGCCTTGGAGGTGTTGGTGGCGTCAAGTGAGCCGCAGATGTTAAACTGCGAAGCGAGCTTGTCGCGGCCGGCGGCCGAGGCAAACATGGTGTCGATGGTGGAGACGACGTCGGCAATCTTGGCCGCGCACGCCTCGCCGACCGACTCGCGGGTTGTCTCGTCGTAGGCGGAAAAGTCGTTTGCGGCGAGGACGGGCGCCGAGAAGGCGAGCGAGCCGTTGGCAACCTGCGGGTACTTGCTGCGGAACCAGGACGAGAGGGCGCCCGAGTACGAGCCGCCGACCACCAGAGTCGGCCCGGTAATCTTGTACGCTGTGCGGAAGTGATCGATGGCGGCGGCAGTGTCCGCCAGCGCCTGCTGCGAGGTGAGCCACTGGAGGTTGTCCACCGAGAGATCAGCCGTGACCACCGACTCGCCGTAGTAGCGGTGCTCGAGCGAGAGCACAGCGCCGCCATGGGCGACCGCCACCTCGTACGAGATGCCGCCTGCGGCAAAGAAGCCCGATGCGGGGCCCTCGCCGTTGATGTTGACCACAAGAGGGCCTCCCTCCACGTAGTGGGCGTCGTTGAACCACGTCCGCTGCTTCCAGCTCGCGCCTCCGCCCGACGCCGAAAAGTGGTCCCGCGGCTGGTCCAGCCAGGTCACCGGCGGAATGGCGTCGCTCGCCACAGCAGCCTCGAGCATGGGCTGGGGGATACGGACGTAGCCCGCCACGCCTGCCACAAGCACGGCCGCCATGATCAACAACGTGCCGGCCTTGTGCATCTGCCGCTGCTGCTTGCTCCGTCTCATCGTCGTCATTGTCTTGGTCACGTGACTTTGCCAATAGAGTCGGGTGACTGACTGGCTGGCTGGTTGGCTGGCTGGTTGGCTGGCTGGCTGGCTTGTGCTGGTTTGTGCGAGAGGGCGGGTGCTGGTGGTGTGCGGGGAATACTGGACAGATTTGGCTATCGGATTGGTCCATGTCCTCGATCAGCCAAGGAGGAAACTATGGGTGACCAGATGGGCGGGCCTGTTGTGGTCAACGGTGGTCGAGATACCGCCCAATTCTTGCCTTGATATCGTGTGTACGCGAGCCATCGAACGGCGCTCACGTACACGCGGTTCGCCGTGCCAATCGGTACGATGTGCTGGCAAAGATGGTCAGCACAGTAAATGCAAAGAAATCTCAAGTTGTCGCGCCAGCGGAGCGACCGCTCGGCCGACAACCGGGAGTGTTACTGTCCGAGATGATCATCGTGGAGCTCAGAGCGGTCAGGTCTGGCGTGGCGGAAAAAGCAAGAAGAATCGAAGATCAGCCAAAAAACCGCCCGCCTGGGGTGCACGACGTGATCGGCAACGCAATGTGGTGCTGCTGTGAGGAACAATCGGAAAACATGTGTGACATGTGTGAGTGTGTTTGTGTGTTGTGAGTGATGGTGACTGTGGCTGAGTTGATGGCGGCGATTTGGCTGTTTCGTTTCTTTTCAACGCGACTGCGGCGACGACGACCGCGATCGCGGGCCGGCGCCGGTCCGTCCGGGCGGCGAAACGGCGCGGACACGCTTCTGCACGTCCGAGGAGACGTACTTGGAGCGGAGCTGGGAGAACTTGGCCTCCGATGCGGCGCGGTACTCGGCGATGGGGTTCGAAGCTGAGGCAATGGTCGATGCGCCCGGCGCGGCAAACGCGGGGCGGCCGGTACTCATGGCGAGCGGCGAGATTGAGGCTGACGCTGGCGAGATGAGCTGCGTCGAGGCTTGTGGTGAGAGCGCGCGCGGTGAGGTCGACGCCGGGCCGCCGACCGGCGAGAGGGACCTGGGCTGGTGCTTGACGACAAAGCCAGTGCCGACAACCGGGCCTGGTGCGGGCGCCAGCTGCGGCGAGAGCGCCGACGGCGACGACGCCCGCGGCGAGATCCGCGGCGATGTCCGCGCCTTGGCCATCGCCGCGTACTTGCGCCGCAGTTCGTCGGCACGCTCGGCCGCGCTCTTGAACGTCGGTGAGGTGACGGCAAAGCTCGAGTACGCCAGCGAGGTCTTGGTGGCAAACGCCGACGGGATGGTCGACGTCGACGCAAACTTGAGGCTCGGCACCGAGGCGCGAGCGCCGGCACCGGTGGCGGCTTGGGCGGCAGGCGCGGCGTCGGATTTGGCGTCGGCCTCGGCTTCGACCACAATCGCAGCGTCGAGGAGCATGTCCAGCCCGATGGCGCGCTCAAATGTGTAGACTGGCTCGTAGGCGGCGTCGTCGATGGTGAGCGCGGCGAGGGCGGCAGCCAGCTCGTTGTCGACCGAGGCGGCAGGCGCAGGCAGCGCGGCAGCAGGCACAGTCAGTGTCGGGACTGTCGGCAGTCGCCAGTCGACTGGTGACAGACCAAAGCCGACCAGAGCAGCGTTGGCGGCCGAGAAACAGCGCGAGCCAAAGAAACCGCGCGAGGCCGAGAGCGGCGACGGGTGCGGCGTGGCGATGACTGCATGGCGGGCGGTGTCGACCTTGCGGAGCGCCTTTTGCGCAAATGAGCCCCATGCAAGAAAAACGGCGTGCGGGAGGCGGGCAGCGACGGCGGCGATAGCGGCATGGGTCAGGGCCTCCCACCCGCGGCCTTTGTGCGAGTTTGCCTTGTGCGCCTCGACGGTGAGGACGGCATTGAGAAGGAGGACGCCGTTGGCGGCCCACGAGGCCAGGAACCCGTGGTCTGGGCAACAAAGCCGTCAATGTCGTCGGCCAGCTCGCGGTAAATGTTGGCTAGCGACGGCGGGACATTGATGCCCGGCTTGACCGAGAACGACATGCCGTGCGCCTGCCCGTCGTCGTGGTACGGGTCTTGCCCGAGGATGACGACCCGAACCGCATGCAGCGGCGTGGCGTAAAAGGCCGAGAAGACCTCCTCGCGCGGCGGAAAGACCTGCTTGCCGGCAGAGACCTCGCTGGCAAGAAAGCTTTCGAGCTCGCGGATGGTCCCGGACTGCAGGACCTCGCGTAGCGCCTCGGCCCACGACGACTCCATCGGCGGAATGAAGGAGAGGCGGAGCGGCTGGCCAGGCGGGGGCGGCGAGCCGCTAACCGCACCCGGCGCATCCGAGAGCGACGTCCGGGTCTGGACCGCCGGCGCCCACCAGACCTTGCGGCCCTTGCCGTCCTTGTAGAACTCGCCCTTGTTGTAGATTTGGAGCCAGGCCTCAAACCGGGCTTTGTCCTCATCGCTGCCGTATTTGTCGAGTGGCGGGATAGAGTCAAGGACCTCGGCGACTATGGCCCGGAGCTCGCGGCCGAGCACAGCTAGCGCGCCCGTGCCGCTAAGCGCGTCGACCAGCGGGATGTGCGGATCGAGCTGCAGCCGGTACATCAGCTCGGCGCGGAGGTAGTTGCCCACGCCGTTAAAGTACTTTTGATCGAGCAGGGCGTCCGCGAGCGGCTTGGCAAACACTGCCGGGCGCTTGGTCTTGGCTAGTGCTGCCGCCACGTGCGCCTCCCACGCCTCGGCCTCGCCGTACGGACACGGCGAGCGGCCGCTCGACCAGCCATCTTCCACGATGCGGCCCATGTTGAGGGTATCGACGTAGTAGACCGACGCGGACTCGCCCAGAATCATGAGCCGGGTTCCCTGTGGAGCGCCAGCCTCGCCACCGCCACCGCCATCATGCGCACCAAGCCCTGCACCAGCTCGATCAGCTGGACCATGGCGGACGACGAGCCACTTGCCGACCAGCCCATGATTGCAGCGCCAGATAACTGGAGCTTGGTCCTGGCGAGCAACAGGAGGAGCCAGAGCAAAGCTACCCAGAGCACAGGCCGAGGCATGGCTGCTGCTGCCGGTGGCTGTCGACGCGGCGGTCGCTGGGCGCAGCTCAAGTCGCAGCTCTTTTCCACGGGCACGGGCTGAGAGCGAAAAGGCGGTGAATGGAAGGTTGGCCGGAGGCACCTTGCCACCGGCTACAGAGACCACACGGGTAAACCGTGTTGTTGCCGGGAGGGCAGAGATGTTCCGTGCATACCGCGCGATCTCAGGCAGCTCGGGCATGGTCCTGGTCTGCCTGGAGTGCGGTGTGTGCGTGCGTGTGTGTTTGTGTGTAAGAGGCGGGCGGAGTGAGGGGAGAGTTGGGTTTACATGGTCTCTGTCTCGGAGGGCTCGGCGGGTTCGGGGGAGGGCTCGGCGGGCTCGCGGGTAGGTTCCGGATCGGCGATGGGGGCGGTGTCCGTGGCGACGCCAACCTTGACCTCAGGCTCGGCGGGCTCGGGGGTAGGTTCCGGATCGGTGATGGGGGCGGTGTCCGTGGCGACGCTAACCTCGACCTCAGGCTCGGCGGGCTCGGGGGTAGGTTCAGGATCGGCGATGGGGGCGGTGTCTGTGGCGACGCTAACCTCGCCCTCAGGCTCAGCGTCAACCTCAGGCTCAGGCTCTGGCTCAGGCTCAGCCCCGACCGGCTCGGGGGCGGCGGGAAGCGGCCGCCGGACGATGGCTGAGCGGTGCTCGACATGGATCCATGTGGCAAAGGTCGGCTCGAGGCGGGCGGTCCGGTCGCCGAGCTGGACAGCGAGGCTGTGCGAGGCGACGTTGTACGAGCCGGGCGAGGAAAAGGCGACGTGGAGGGCGACGGTGGCTGTGGCCCGCGGCGCGAGATTGATGGCCTTGTTGTGCGCGGCGCCGAGCCACATCCACGGCACCGTGGTGTGGGCCGGGACGAACCGCGCGCTGGCAGGCGTCGCCAGCGAGAGGTTGGTGATTGTGAGCGTGAGGTCGACCAGGGCGAGCGGCGAGGCGCCAAAGTCGTGGTAGACCCGCTGCTCCGGGCCGAGAAGAACGTGCCGGACGATGACGGCCGGGTCGACTGCGCGCGACTCGTCGACCTCGGCGACGTGCTCGCTCGGCGCCGCACCGCTGGCAGCAGGAGTACCTGGGACCCGCGGCAGCGGGTGCCCAAGCGAGAGCACCGACGCCGGCGGCAGGATCGCCAGGCCATGGATGGTTGGCGGCGGGTTCGGCGCCGCCACGTTCCACGCCACCAGCGCGTGGACCGAGAGAGGCGCAAAGTGGGTGCTCGCCACATTGCGCGCATGCGAGAGGAAGCCCATAGCTGCAGGCGAGGCCGAGAGCAGACTGCTGGTGTCCGCGTCCGGCTGCGCCAGCGCCAGTGCCGTGGGCACCGGCACCGCGTCGGCCGCGTCGGGCGCGACCGTCACGTGGTAGTGGAGTGTCACCGAGCCGCGCGACGGGACGACCGGCGCCGCCTCGTCGGCGTCGGCACCGCTTGCGCGGGTGAAGCGCATGCCGGCGGCGACAAAGGTGACGTCGGTGACCACAACCGGCGAGCGGAGCAGGTTGTCGACCGACAGCGCATACAGCAGCGCGGTGGGTGATGCCGGCGAGTCAAGCACATGCCCGCGGCAGCGGAGCGATGGCACCACGTTGGTAGTAAAGTACAGCCGAGCAAAGCGGTAGAGGCCAGACTCGGTCGCTTCGTCATTTGCCGGTCCGGTGTAGTAGAACAGGACATGGACGTCGCGCGTCCCGAGATGGCCCGAGAACTTGAGACGGAGCGTGAGCTCGCGCGACTCACCGGGCGCGAGCTCCAAGCCTGCTCCGCTGCCGTCCCCACCACACCCGTCAAAGTACATCAGCGAGCCGTCAAAGGCGTCGGTGTGCAAGACGCCCAGCCCCGAGTCCGGCTCAAAGACGGCTGCGCCCGGCACCGAGCACTTTGCGCGCATGTAACTGAGCGGGCGCTGCCCGGTGTTGGTCAACCGCAGCGGAATGGTGACAACAGCATGATTGGGGACCGTGGGCGGAGCGACCGGCGCAGTCACACCGTCGGGCGCAGTGACCGCCAGGCACGGCAGCGGCGGGACGACGTCGAGGGCGAGCCGCGCGTCGGGCGCATAACTGACCGAAGTCCGGTCGGCGACGGTCTTGAACAGGCGCGGGCCGCGGCCAGAGAAGGCGACCCGGCCCTCGATGGCCGAGTTGAGCGAGAACCGCAGGCCGGTGAGCGCAAGGTTGCCGACCGAGTTGGGCACCAGGCTCAGCGTGAGCTTGCGTCGCTCGTTGGCCCCGAGCGTGAGCTCGACCGACGTGGCGGTGTAGGCCTCGGCCGGCGTCGCCGTCAGCCGCAGGCTCGAGAGCACCAGCTGGACCGCCAGCGGATTGACCAGCTCGAGCTCGACCGCGATGGTCTCGCCGATGACGTGGATGTTGTCGTGGTGCGGGACGGACCAGGCGTTGTTGCGCGGCGCACCACGGACGGTGCCGGCGCGGAGGAGCTCGTCCTCAAACGAGCGCCACCACGCGTTAGGCGAGGCAAAGTCGTGCGGGGTGTGAAGAGCGGCAAATGCGTACGCGAGCGCGGCCGGTGGCGGGCGCGAGTACGGCGAGAGCACCCGGAGCGAGGCCTCGTCGAGCCGCGGCAACGGGAGGTCACGGGCCTCGGGCGCGGCGTCGCCCAGCGCCGAGTTAGCGCCCTGCACCACTCGGATGTAGTTGTTGAGGTAGGTGGCCTGCACGGTCGGCGACTGGACCGACGAGGCGAGCATGGGGCCCATGGCATCAACAGAGCCGTCGCGGTCGCCGAGCTTGAACGTCAGCCGGGCCACGTTGTACCGCAGCGTGTCGTGCGAGCGAAGCCAGCCGGCGGCGGCGGCGCTCTCGATGCGGAGGAGGGTGGTGTAGAGGCGGAGCGCGTGTGAGGCCTGCCCGGCGTCGGCAAAGCGGTTGGCGGCCATCATGGCGTACATGACAAACTTGCGGAGCTTGGTGGTGGGAAAGACGGCGAGGAAGCAGTGCGCGACTTGCTCGAGCGAGAGCGCAACAAACAGCGGGTTATTCTGCGACGCCGTCATCTGCATGACGCAGTGGGCTGCCGGAATAAAGGCCCGCCGCTCGCGCCAGAGCTTGTAGTGCAAGTAGAGCGCGCGTTTGGCGTTGGCGTAGTACCCGGTCTTGTGGTAGATAACAACTGCCGAACCGATCGAGCTGTTGACGTCCTTGTGCGAGGCGTCGTAGAAGAGAGTGGCAAGGCCGAGGGCCTCCTGGGCGCCGGCGTAGTACCGCCACGCCGACTCCTTGCGGTACTCGTCGAGCGCGAGCGAGTAGACCGACGCCGCCAGCGGATAGTCTTGCAGGAGAAAGGCGAGGTCGGCGAGGACTCGGAGCTGCGCGCCCGGCGACTTGTAGTGAAAGATGAACGGCGGGCCTGCGGCGGCGTTGGGCAGCGGGCCGTCCTTCTCGGGCGACTTGGATGACTTGAACCACTTGGACCACTTGAAGCCCTTACGCGAGACGGCAACCCGTTCGTGGAGCGCGTGGACCTTGCGTCGCATAAGCGGCACCAGAAAGTTGACCGCAAAGTTGGTGACAAACTGCGCGAGCGCGTCGATGTCGGCCGGCCCGAGCAGCGCACCGGGTGCAGGTGCGTCGGCCGGAAAAGCAAAGGTCGATGGGCGGCCGGATGCCCAAAACCGGGGCGGGAGGGCCGGGCCGGCGTCGCCGCCGGTCGACACTCTCACCAGCGCAAAATTCGACTGCGAGTAGAGCGAGGCCATGCGGGCGTGAACAGTCGCCGGCGTAGTCTCAGGGTTGCCCGAGCATGGCGCCTCCCACTCTTCTTCGTGCAGAATGAGGCGAAAGGCGGTGAGGTTCGGGTCCATGGCCCCGTTCTCAAACATGGTCGGCGGGACCGACGACGAGTAGAGGCCGGCGAGCGCCTCGATCGGGGTCGGGTTCCGGGTTGTCGAGACCAGCAGCAACGCCACCGGATGGTCAAACGACTCGTGCTCCGAGCCACGGAGCGCGTCGGCCAGCGTCTGGTGGTACGCATCGTACCACGGAGTCGGCGAGACGCCTGTCGCGCCCGCCCGGAACTCGCACCGGCGCCCGACGACCCCGCCGCCGACGACAACGGCGCGCTACCGGCTGTTGCCGACCCGGACGTGCCGGCAGTCATGTATGGGCTCGGAGGCGGGCGCTGGCGAGCAGAAGCGTAGTAGTTGAGGTACGAGGCGACCGAGTCTGGGGTGGAGAGCTCGGGCGGCGGAGGAACATCGTCGGGCAGGTCAGGCTTGTGCTTGGAGTCGACGCGAGCAGCAAGAAGGTCAGCAAGGGCTTCTGTGGGAAGGGTCTGCATCCACTCGAGCGGACGAAAGGCAATGCGGAAGTTGTGCATGTCATACGTCTGGCCATTGAGGTTGCCCGTGGTGACGGGACCGGTCAGCGAGGGCAGGCATGCGCCAAAGGGGGCAAAGAGGTCAGCAAGAGCCAGCGAGGAGGCAGAGGCCAGTGCTTGGGCGTCAAGGGTGGAGAGGACAAGGACCGTAGGCTGAAAGGTGTTAGTGACCAAGCTGTGGTACGGGTTCATTTCCCCGCTCGCCAGGCCGCAGTGGCTGGGGAGGAGTGTGCTGGGTGGGACGAGGTGGGGGTGGGTGGGTGGGGGGGGGG